ACTTGCATCCCCAGGGAACGAGGCGGGTTGCAGCCCGGTCGTCGCCCCTGTTTGCCCGTACGACCTCCTGGATTAAAAAGCCCGGGTCGGCCCTGACAGGCCGCTTGCCTCGTCGCTCTCCAATTGAACTTGGAGCATCGACCCTCGATGGGTCCTGGGCCCCCGATGTCGGACATGGCCTCCGAGGCGAGCCCAAGCCAATGCCGTGCGCCAAAAAAACGGCACGACACCGCAGAGCAGCGATCACGAGAAACAGAAATTTCTGTTTCGAATCGCGCGCTGCCAGACAAGCAAACACGCGTTGCAGAATATTCCAGACAGCGACAACCCTTCCAAACAACATAACTCGGGCCGACATTCCTTGGGTAAGGAATCTTGAGCGAAATCGCAGATTTCCGATCGCATCTGAAATTTTCAGGTCCTCTGGAACGCGGTCGGATTTTTTTTAAAGCAAGTATTGGGCGGAATGCGAGTTTCCGATCGTCGCCCCATTTGGCGATTATCATATGAAAAAGGGATGAGGCATGGATCGGAATTCCGCCATGGCGGTGTCTGCAACATCGTACCGGGGCCCCGCCGCCTAACGGGACACGTTTCTCGCTGAAATTCCGCGACCTCTGCGGTCCGGACTTTTCCATCGGGGGGTTGTATGGGGCCAGGGGGAGAGACAGCTGCGCCTCGTCGCCACGCCTTCCCGCCCCCCTGCGGTGGCCCGTCGCCCACACCGCTTGCGCCTGCGTTGGTGGAGGGCCCCCCGCGAGGGCCTCATGGTGGACCCACACCCGTCCTGCCTTGGGCCAGGGTCCCCCGCCCTGGCGTGCGCGGGGGTGTGCGGTCGCCCGAGGGAGCGGCGCCCCCCGGGGTGGCTTCTCGGGGCGGCACGCCGTGGGGCGTGCCGTTATCCGAGGGCAGTGCGCCCGCCGCTTCGGGACTGCCAGAGCGCGCGGCGCGCCAAGGTGAAGGCTGCCCGCGGCGCGCCAAGGTGCGTGCTGCCTGGTCCGCCTTCGGTGGCTTGGCTAGGAAAGAGTGAACATCTTAGTGGTGGAGGGGTTCATTTGATGTTTTTTTTTTTTTGTTCCACCAGCTTCTGGGCCGGCTCCACGGGTGGGCCCCCTGTCCCTCGTAGACGCGGTGCGCATCGAGCTCAAGGGGTGGCATTTCCGTTTCGCTATTCCTTTCGTGATAGTTCAGAGGCTATGAACAAACAGCGTTCGTTCCGAAAACATAGGGCTCGTTCGTTGTGCGTATCGGTGTAACATACGATAGCCATAGGGTTAACATTTTGTGAATCTTCCGTTCTTGCATCCGCGACAGGGTCCATTCCACTGCGCTCCACTGCGCTCCACTGTGCTCCGCTCCCTCCCTCCCTCTCGCCCTGCTCCCCTGCCTCCCTCCCCCTCCTCCCCGTGTTCATCTTTGTGCGCTATTTGTGTGTACTCCCACCAGGCCGCCTCGCTGGTCGATGGCGCGGGGGTCAGGATAGTTCCGTCCATCTAATGAATGAGCAACAGACTTGACGTTACTTCTTTCCACGTGCATGCTGTCGCATCGTCTGTGGCAAATGCGCCGTCAAACGGGATTCTGGACCATGGGAGACGGGGAACGAGGGGGAAAACGACGGCCAAATGCCTCACGCGCCTTGTAATTCCCCTGGCTGGCGGGAGTCGGCGGATTGTCATTTGTATCGCCTCCGTTTTATATTGTACACCCAGGGCCCTATATGACCGCGCTCGGGTTGATCTGCGTCTCCTTCGCTTTGCCTGCGCGGCGCGCTGGGCCTTCCCCCTTGGGGTAACATGTTCTGTTGGAATTTCTTGTCTGGCTCCCAATGGGGCGTCGGGGCGAACTAGATGATGATGATGCTGCTGATGAGGATGTGGATGATGATGATGGTGATGTTGTTGATGATGGTGATGATGATGGTGATGTTGATGATGATGATGATGGTGGTGGTGATGGTGATAATAGTTGTGGTGGTGGTGGTGCTAATGATGGTTGTGACGATGATGCTGATGATGGGGCTGGGGATGATGACGTCGATGCAGACGACTGGCGCGGGTGGTAATGTTGCCGATGGCGGTGATGACGATGGCAGTGCGGATGGTATTGTTGCGACGATGGTGGTTGCGATCATGGTGATGATGGGTGTGGTGAACAATAGTGATGGCCTGTGCTCGACCAGTGATCGTTTAAATGTGCTGGATCAAAAGGCATCGTAGGGATTCGGGGGTAATCGATGAGGGTGGACATTGTTATTGAATTTGGAGGACATGTTGCTAAGAGAGGAATGTCGAACGTGGAGGACGGAGGAGGCAGGGTGCATGAGCAAAGACGGATGCTACGGTAGATGGGGAACAAGCGCGCGGTTGGGCGGCGGGGTGGAGGTTGAGCGAGGGTCTGCGGAGGATGAAGAGGAGGAGGGGGAGGGTGAGGAGGAGGAGGAGGAAGAGGAGGGGCAGAACGTGGATGATGATGATGACGATGATAGTGATGATGCTGA